TTCGTTCTTAGAACACAGAATAAATAACTTAGGTATGTATAACAAGCTGTGTGTTCTATAAAAGCTCATTACCTGGGGCTGGAGAGATGGCTCAGAGGTCCTGCCTGAGTTTTATTTAATTCTCAGCAACCACATTGGTGGCTCAGAACCATCTATGAGATTTGGCACCCTCTTCTGGCCTGCAGGCATACATGCAGACAGAACACTGTATACATATTCTTTAAAAAAACAAAAAACAAAAAAACCATAAACTACCTCTGATGCCGTTGTAAATGGTTGGAAGTAGAATCAAGATTTTAACTTTGACTTCAAAACAAAATTGTTGACTAGATGTTTTCTTTGACTGTAAATGGATAGCAGACAGCTGAAAAAAGGCATAGAGAAAACTTGGCCGCCACCCTACCCCTTCAGTCTCTGGACAGTAGTTTCCCATCCTTGGTTTATGGCCACAAATCTCAACTTTCAGGTGTTTGTCAAAGTTTGTCCAGTGTGGTGTGTATAGTCATTCAGTGATTTAAAAGATAGAACTGTTCCTTCTATTTACTGCTGTAGACGAGGAGAAGACCTTTTCATGTGTATGGACATACAGCTGGTTGAAGCATTGTGCGGCTTCCAAAAGCCAATATCCACTCTCGACAACCGAACCATAGTCATCACCTCTCATCCAGGTATAACCAGATGAACCTGTTTTCCTATTTGAACTTCTGAGGGAAAAGTACCATCTTTTCCTTCCTAGGGCTGAAATGAAGTTATGGGGCCTTGGATAAAATGTCAGTTTCTTCTTGGAAAAGCTGTAAACGAAGGCAACAGGGTTGCTGAACCACAGTTAGCTCAGAGGTGTTTTCTGTGTGTGTTTTTCCTTATGCAAATGTGACCATACTTAAGAATTTGGCTTCAATGTCTTTAGGTCAGATTGTCAAGCATGGAGATATAAAATGTGTGCTGAACGAAGGTATGCCAATATATCGTCGGCCATATGAAAAAGGACGTCTAATCATTGAGTTTAAGGTAAGAACTCGAGCATATTTGATAATGGCTAATAAAGAGTGAACAAATGCATTTATTCCCTTTTTCCAGAAAGAACTGACAAAGCAGGTGACCAAGGTTGAGGGGTATGGCTCAGAAAGGCTTACTTCTTAGTAATATGACAGTTAACTTCTGTTAGCACCTAATGGGCGATATGCCTGTGTAATCTAGCACTGGAGAGGATTGGGTAAAGAATAAATCATCTAAGCCGGGCGGTGGTGGCGCGCAGCTTTAATCCTAACACTTGGGAGGCAGAGGCAGGTGGATCTCTGAGTTCAAAGCCAGCCTGGCCTACAAGAGCTAGTTCCAGGACAGCTAGGACTTTTACATAGAAAAACCCTGTCTCAAAAAATCAATCTAGCCGGGCTGGGTGGTGAAGGTGAACACCTTTAATTCCAGAGCTCAAGGCCAGCCTGGTCTACAGAGCGAATTCCAGGACAGTCAGGGCTACATAGAGAAAGCATGTCTGAAAACACAAAATAGTAATGATTGGTTCTAAGCCAAAGTTGTAAGGTGCACCTAAAGAAATAGGTAATTACATGTTTTTGTTTTTGTTTTTCCTGGAAGAATAGTTCCAGTGTACTTAAAGGATCTAATGATAGACTCAGACTGCTATATCTTTTTTGCAGGTCAACTTTCCTGAGAATGGTTTTCTCTCTCCTGATAAACTCTCTTTGCTGGAAAAACTCCTTCCTGAAAGGAAGGAAGTAGAAGAGACTGATGAAATGGATCAGGTAGAACTGGTGGACTTTGATCCAAATCAGGAAAGACGGCGTCATTATAATGGAGAAGCGTATGAGGATGATGAACATCACCCCAGAGGTGGCGTTCAGTGTCAGACCTCTTAATGGGCCAGTTACTGTTTGTCACTCTATATGCAGTAGTGAATGTGGGAAGAACTGTAATCATAATATGCTCACTACTTGGCTGTTGTTCTTGTTTAATATTCAACTATAGTAGTGTTTTAAAAGTTAAGTGAAGAATAAACACAAATATAAAAGCTCTGACTTTGCCCTGTATGTATGACTTCAATGTTCAAGATGAAGTTTAATACTTGTAAACCTACTTTAAAAGTTCCCTAGCATCTGTTAGGCCATATCTTGTGTAACTGATAATAGCTGTGTACATTAGACTGATATGCTAGGTATGTGTATATGACCCTTAATTGTTAAGCTATGGAATTAAAATTCTGTATTTAAGGTATCAGAAAAAGAAAACAATTAGTAGTGACATATTGGTCTGTCTAGTTGTATGAAGTGGACTAATTGTGATGCCTCTGAATTGTATTGCCTCAGCCATTACTAGAAGGTGGCATAATACATAATTTCACCTGTTATTAGTGATAGAAATGATACATTCCTAAAGAAATTTATCAAACTACTGCTTAAGGGCTTGCTCTTCTAGATTGCATTCCCTTCTGCTGTGCCATCTGTTAAAAGATATATATATACATACACAGAAAACATGGTCACCTCTCTTCCCTTCTCCTTGAACCATGATAAGCCCTTGGGTAGTGACTTCCAAAACCCAAGTAATTTTACAAATTACAGTGGAGAGACCTTGCATGTGGAGAAGTGACTGCATGTATAATCCAGGAAAGCCTTGCTATTTGACTTGGGCTCCAACGTAACTGCAATTTACTGTTGGTAGTATAGCAGATTATGAATAGCTTTGTTGTATGTCTTAAAATCACATGTTCACATGCTTAAATCTGAGTATCAGAATTTAAGCAGTTATTGAAATGTATGACTGTCTCCTAATACACTGATTATAAAGTGTTTCCAATGTGTCACTGCAGGCCTTTTTTTTCCCCTCAGTTCAAAGTTTTGGCTTTTATAATGTAACTTTATTACTTTGTTCCTGAAATGTGCAAATGATTAATATATATGGGTAGGGAGTAAAAAGTGTAGGGTCTGAGCCCAGGTCAGAAAGGGAACTGCACCCACCTGGGTGAGAGAGTATGTGAACTTCATGCCAGTGCAGTACTCAGTACGTGGGTCTACTACATCTTATTATAAAATCTGGAAGTAGAATGAAGTTCTCTTCATGGGGAGAACATTTGAATTAAAAAGCAGGGTAAAAGAAGTGGCTCAAGTGGTTACACTAAGGATAGACATGATGTACATACATGCAAACAACTCAATTTGGGCAAATGGTGGCTCAAGCATTTAATAAGAACTGGGAGGAAGAGGCAGGTGATCTCATGATTTCAAGACCAGTCTGGGCTACACAGAAAACCCCATCTTCTAAAACAAACTTGACAAGTTAAATGTCAGGCTTTGCTATTGAGCTTTTTTTTTTCTCTTTTTCATTTTGGGGGGTGGAGCTCAAGACAGGGTTTCTCTGGAGTCTGTCCTGGTACTCACTCTATATAGATAGACCTGGCTGGCCTCGCTCAATGGAGGTCCACCTGCATCTGTCTCCTGATTGCAAGAATTAAAGGCATGCACCACTCCATCCATCTTACTATTGAATGTTTTAAACTCAAAGCAGGAAAATGTTACCTTGAACATACTGTACTTGAAGCTTTCCAGGTGTGGGATGCTAACAAAAGCTGTGAAGTACAGAAGAGCTGTTGCATTTAATTAAGACCTTTGGAAAGAGTAAAAATGAAAACCTAATGAAAAGATGATGTAAAATGCTGTACACAATTATGCTTGTTGGATCTCAGTACTAGTTTGGGTGGGACCTGCGAATGTCTTTAAAACAAGCTACTGGGTGAGTAAAATGTGAAAGACTGGAGTCTAGCTGCTTGTTAGCCACCAGATGTCAGCCTTTGAGCAGGTTGCAACATGGGAGTTTCTCCCAATTTTGCTACTTCATTGGGAAGTGGGTACCAGAGGTCAGCATCAACCTTAATGCTGCCTTAGTACAGGACTGCTCCAGGAGGGGTGTTCCTACCTCCAGCCCTAGAGAAAGCTGGCCAGGAAGGGCTTAAGGCAGGACAGTCTTGTAAGTTCTTTCCTTAGCTTACTGGGATATCATGCTACAGTCCCTGTTTGGTTTGTGCCTCCACCTTGTGGGGTACTGGCATTATAAGGCATATTCCCAGTTTGCCAGATTCTTATTTTTTTCTCCCCTTTGAGGCAAAGACAAGATCTCAAGCTGGGCTGTAGCAGTGAACACCTTTAGTCTCAGCACTCTAGAGGCAGAAGCAGGCAGATCTCCATGAGTTTGAGGCCAGCCTGGTCCATGAGCTAGTTCCTTGTCTTGAAAGACCATAAAAAAAGACATGGTTCCCCTATATAGCCTCCCATGTTGAGCTTAAACTTGTGCAAGACAAGAGTTTCTTTGTGTAAACAGCCCTGACTTTCAATTTGTAGACCAGGCTAGCCTTGAAGATACTATTATATAGCTAACTTGAATTTCTAGTCCTCTTGCCTCTACCTCCCAACTGCTGGGATACAGGCATGCAAGTTATGTGGCACTAGGGAATCAAACCAAGACATGCATGCTAGGCTACCATTCTACCAACTGAGCCCAAAATGTGGAAACTTGGTAATGACTTTATCAATAAAAGCCTAGAAGGTCTCACTTTCTTAAGCAGCTTAGCATACATTATAAATGTTCTCTACATTGTTGGTTGAAATTGAAAGGACATTAATGTGGAACCCATTTTCAAGAGTTTTGTTGACTGAAATGTTTTTCTTCAGCTAATAAGTATACACATTAAATCTCCAGTCCTTTTCTAATTTTTCTTCACAACAGTACATTATCAGTGCCAAATCATCCTCCAAAACAGGATGATGTCTAAACTTCAAAAATCCCATAAACCACCCTGTAACTAGTTCCAACTGGAACATGAGCGCTACATTGAAGCAAGCCTGAACACAAAGGGCAAAGCTCAGAAGGTTGACAGCGGAATGTGACTGTGTCACCAGGCCTTTTTCATGTTAGTCTTAAACTATCCCAGGAACTGAATAACAGACTTAAGGTTCAAGAATGATTCTCTTTCTCCCTATTAACACTTATGGTAAAGTCTTCAGAAAGGTATTAAGTTTATTAAAATCTTTTTTTAAAAAAACCCCACAGCTGCTGAATATGGCACAGTGACTTATTTACACATTCTATGCTAGGACACATTTTAATTAACAGTATTTAAAGTCTTTTGGTAGAGATTAATGAAAACATTAAATGAATTCCCCAGTTAATGATTCCCCTTTAAAATGCTCTAAAAGCAAGCTAGCAAAAGGGGTGGGGGTTCATACCTTTAATCTAAACACTTGAGAAGTAGGCAGATCTCTGAGTTCAAGGCCACCCTGGTCTACAGAGTGTTTCAGGACAGCCAAGGATTACAGAGAAACCCACGTCTCAGCAAAATAAAATAAAGAAAATTAAATGATAACTTCTATTTAAACATGAATTTTCGCACAATTATTCTTGACTTATTCAGAGAGCATCTTTGTTTACAAAGGCAGATATGAAAAGTAAAAGTAACACATGAGCACGCCTCCACTTAAGTGCATGTTCCCTGGCTGCACTTAAGAGGACTCAGGGTTTCCAGAGCTTCAGGAGTCCATCTTCACTGTAGGTAGCAATCAGGTTCTGATGCGGGTGGTGTGCAATTCCAATCACATCCTTCTCATGAACCTAGAACATGGAAAGCAGTCAGGGTACACAGGTCTTACTTAAAGCACTCTCAAGAGGCCTTGAGAGATGGCTGGGGAGAAAAAGAGACCCTGAGAGGTCATATATTCTAAATGGCACTGCTTAAAGAGGGCTCTCCAATCCACACCAAATTGTGATGTAATCATTGTGACATAATCAGAAAAAAAGCTTTTATTTTGTTAAATCACTAAAATTTGGGGACCATGTATTATATAGCAACTGAGCAGTGGCACATGCCACACTCAGGAGGCAGAGGCTGGAGGATCTCTGTGAGTTCAGGACAGCCAGGACTATACAGAAAAACTGTCTTGGAAAGATAAGGGGAAAAAAATTACTCCTCATAATATCTTCAATATATTGAAATTTTCAGTAGCATAAAGCTGAAAATGTCAAAAGCAATCAAACTGGAAGGATAATATCCAAGTAGTTACCTCCAAAAGGAACGAAGAAAGTTTGTCTCTCCAACCCCCTCGGCCCCGGAAAGTCAGGCCTAGCTAGCAAGCTGTTCCTTCTCTGCTTTCTGTACTGTTACCCTTCCTCTGAAGCCAAACTGTTCTACAATACACCTGATTTCTAATATATGATACAATCACATTTATTGGTAAACTCCCCCATTGCATGTTTTCTAAGGAAGTTCATACTGAGGGCAGCCTGCCTGAAGAAGGCTGGCACTGGAGAGGACATGGACGCCCATGGATACCCTTATGCGGTCTTTAACTCACCGTCAGAGTTCTCTCCAGCTTGCCGGTGACTGTGCTGAAGCAGTAGAGCACGAAGTCCTCCCCAACACAGTAGATCCACTCCCCACGGGGAGAGAGGGCACAGCAAACGAAGTCACCACCTTCTCTCTTACCAGAACTGAAGCTTCTGACAATCTAGACACCGCACCCAAAACAAAAGCAAATACCAGACTTGTAGCAGGGCAACTGCAGGCAGGGGCAGCAGTCTAAACACCACCGACCTAACATTTAATGAGGACTTCATGTCTGCAGATAGGGCCATGTAGCCAGGCTGGTCTCAAGCTTGCTCTGCAGACAAGGTTGACTGAATTTCTGATCCTTCTGCCTCTAACTTCCCAAGTGCTGGGATTAAAGACATGTGTCACACACCCAGAAAACAAAATTTTAAAAACTGACATTTTTTTACACTGTTATTTTGCACTTTGGTTACTATTGTCAGATATTCATTGTATGTTACATCTTCCTGCCTGAAAATATTCAAAAGGTAAACTACAGTTAAGTAGCAGTCAGAAATTTTGAATTTTGCACCCAAGTCACCAGCCCCGACCTTCAGTTACTTTATTGCCCATGTTCATCTCACAAACAGCCATCTTCTAAATCAATACACCTCAGTTTCAATGCTACCAGTCCACTCTCACCAGACGCAATGCCCATCCTCCACCCAGGAAGGAACACTACGATTCTCCTTTATGATATACAACTTTAAATTCACCCTGAGTGATCACCTGCAGTTCCAGCACTTGGGAGACTGAGGAAGGAGGATTCAGTATTCAAGGCCAGCCTAGGCTACACAGTGAGACACTGCTGTTTTCTTTCTATTAGCATCCCATATTCGCCTGTGGTAGTTAGATATCCCAAGAAAGCGACCCACACCACACTGCACCTCCCTAAAAGGAAAAATCTTCAGGTCAGTTCTAAAAGCTAAAGGACAGACCAGAGCTGGCTGGGGATGGTAGTGTACTATAATCCCAACACTCAGAAGTCTGAGACAGGAGGATCATTGAGTTTGAGGGTAACCCAGGCTACACAGCAGGATACTGTCTCAGAGAGAAAGGATGTGCTTCTGCATGTGTATCTATAAATAAATACAGCTTATATAGCTTAGAAACAGTGACCCTTGTTTGACCACAGTACGGACCAGAATCAAGTCCAGTACAGAAGCACCCTCTGAGTACTCACCTGCCCCTGCATGTTCATGATGACCACTGTGTTTGATCGGTTGCATACAACAAAGTGCTCTGGGTTTTTAGGAAGCAGAATCACGCTATTGACGGTAATATCTGTCCCTGCAGTACTGCCCAATGATTTAAAGGTATTTGAACATTCCGTGGTCTTCATGTTCCAGATCTACCACAAAAATATAAAACATAACACTTAAATTATGAGAATTTCTAAAGTGTTAAGACTTAAAAATTAACAATTAGGTTTAAGAAAATCAAATAACCAATACTGCCACATGTATAGTAAGCATTCCTCTGATTTAGTGAGGAAAACCACAAGCTAAATAATAAAAATCATTTTTCAGGATCATGCTATCTTCATAAACAGCAAGAGGCCAGCACACTGGCACATACCTTTAATCCCAGCACTCATGAAGGGGAGGGTTCAAGGTCAGCCTGGGCTACTGTTTAGCAAGATCCTGTCTCAAACTAAACAAAATATCAGTCATGAGACCTGTAATTTCAAGCATCAGGAGGATGAGGCAAAAGGATCCCTAGTTTGAGAAAGAGTATAATATTCTAGGATAGCCTGGGAAAGAAGGAAGGGGAGAATAATCCAGGGACTGAGGACATGGCTCAGAAAAGTCCCTGCTAGTCACTTTATTTTGAGGACTTAAAGTTTGAGTTCCAGCTACCACATAAAAGCTGGGTGCCAGCAATCGCAGCACTGGAAAGACTCAGGACAAGCCTTGGGGCTCTGGACAGCTAATCATCTAGATCTTTGAATCCTAGTGCAAGGTGGTGCATTCTAGAACCCCTCCTCCCAAAAAAAAAGAGGGGGGGCAGAGCTCCATGGAGGGAAGCCTCACACTGATGCTCTTTTAGAGGTCCCGAGTTCAATTCCCAGCAACTAAATGGTAGCTCTGGCCTCAAGGTACACAAGGAAACATGTACACATCTACATGTACAAACACAAACAAAAATGCTCAAAAGGCATTAACACCAGAAGAGACGTCAGTTTAGCACCCTGTTTTGAAAACTCTGATTTGGTGAGGCTGAGGTGAATATGGTCAAAAAGATCACAGCATTGGCACATACATGAGAACCCAAAAGGCAGAAGCCACTCAGCCACCTGTACTACTTCTCAGTTCTTACCTTGTCTAGGCTTATGAACTGAAAGAGTTTAGTCAGAGAGCTTAGAGAAGAGACAAAAAAGGGTTGCATGGCACTGTTCAGATACCCCTCACTAAAGAGGTGAAGAGCCTCTACAGCACGCTCCCAATGCTTTTCCTCTGTGACTAACAGCTCTGTACAATACAAATGTCTTCTAAACATCTGTAGGGAGAAATACTTGCCCCACTAGATGTTCAAGGTAAATATGGTTACCTGCCACAATCTTTTGGAGTTCAGCTGCCTAAGAAAAACATTTCAGCAATCAATTTCTACTGGAGTTTCTCAACTTTTCCAAGAAATAAGGTCCTTTAAATTTTTTATTTAGGATGGGTGTGGTGGTTCACACCTCTAATCCCAGCACTTGGGAGGCAGGGGCAGGTGGATCTCTGTGAGTTCGAGGCCAGCCTGGTCTACAGTGCGAGTTCCAGGACAGCCAAGGATACACAGAGAAACCCTGTCTCGAAAAACAATAAAACAATCAATCAATAATACCTCTGGAACTGGAGATGCAGGCAACTGTAAGCTGTCTAACACAAAGGATCAAACTTGGTTTCTGGAAGAGCAACTACGAACTACTGAGTCATTTCCCCAGCTCCTGAAATAACTAAATCTTTAAAGGTACTGAATAAAGACTCAATACTTTCAGTTGAGATATGTTGGGAAAGGATTATTTGAAAGTTGAGTTTATTTACTTTTATTTATGGATACAAATGTTTGCCTGCATGGACAGATGTGCACCATAAGCACAGTACACACAGAGACTAGGGTATTGAAGCAACTGAAAGTGGAGTTACAGATGGCTATGAGCTACCATGTAAGTGCTGGGAACTAAATGGAGTTCTCTGCAGGAGCAGCAAGCACTTCTACCTATTGAGCTCTCTCTCCAGCCACTCTTTTTTTAAGACAAGATCCTTTTTATACAGTCCAGGCTGGACTGAACTTGTAGAAGTCTTCCTGCCTTGGTCTCCCAACTGCTGGGAGGCTCGTATTTCTATGCTTTCTCTCCCTCACTCCTCTTCAGATATAAGGAAAGACTTAATTTGGGAAGAAACACAAAAAGAGCATTTGATCATTGAAACATTTCTAAATCTGATTACAAGTAGTGGCTAATATTCATAGGAAGACAGGCTGAACTACTCTGTGTATCTATGGATGAAGGATCACTTACGTTTCTACATATGACAAAGCTTGGGTTGTCTGAGTGTGAGGTTGAGAGTGTGTATGATATAGACCAACAAACAGGGAACACCCACAGCATGCCTGTCTCTGACTCACCAATGCTACCTTCTTAAGGAGCAACAGTGAAGAGGACATCCCAGGAGTCAGTGGGATACTTTACCTTCACAGTGCCATCAGAAGATGCACTGATAATGTAATGTCCATCCTGTGTAAATGTTGCCTCGTTAACAAAGGAGGAATGGCCTCGAAATTCCTTCAGTGTTTTTCCAGATTTTAAACCATGAATTCTATCAAATAAAAAGAATATTCATTATGTTATGTGGAAGCAAATCACTGAATGCATTTTAGATGCATTACAGAAGTATTACAATATTAAATGATGAAATGTACACAGTATAAACCACATTTTTGCTTTTTAAAACCAGAGTTTCACTAGGGAGTTCAAGCAGCCCTAGAATTCGCAGTCCATCAGTCTCTGCCTTCCAAGGGCTGGGAGTCCAAGCTTCTACTTCCACACCCAGCATCACAGACCACACACCGAGAAAAATGAAACACTGTTATTTCACCCTCTCAAATAGTTCTGCATAAAAAAGTTATGTGCCACCTGAACCTGAGAAGATGCGGCCTCACATAGCCTTGTTCTCCATATCACCCCATCCTGGAAATGCATGAAGACTCACTAATAACTTCTCCCTCTGGGGCCTTATTTTTGATAAAAAATTGTCATAAGGGCAGCTCCGGGATTCCTCTTACCTTATTGTTTGGTCAAAAGATGCACTGAGGATCTGACTGCTATCCTTTGAAAAGCTTAGACAGGTGACACCTTTACTATGTGCCCTTTCAAATCTTCTTAAACACTGTCCACTCTGAATCTTCCACACCTTTAAGAAGATAAAAAGGTGAATAAAGTGTTGGCAGGGACAGCTGACAATGCAGCACAAACACATCAAGACAGCAGCAAAGATGCATGCCTGCAGTCCAATCTGGCATGTCTACTGCAGAAGTACAATAATATGGAATCTTTTGAAACTTTTCTAAAATAAAGATTCAAGACAGTGAACTGCAGAGATGGCTCAGTAGTTAAGGGCACTTTTTACTTTTGTAGAGGACCCAGTTTCAATCCCCAACACCTACAGGGTGACGCAGAACTACCTGTACGTCCAGTTCCACGGGAATCTGATGCCGCCTTCTGACCTTAAGGCACCAGGCACACAAGTGGGGCACACATATACATATGAAGACAAAACACTCAAACATATAAAACAAATAAAACACAACCCAGTGGTAAGAGTGTCTAACATTAAAAAAAAAAAGAGTGTCTAACATTCACAAGGCCCCGAGTTCAACATCACAAAAGAAGACAAGACAAAAAATAGTAGCAAAAAAAAAAATAGTAGCCAAGTCTATTAAGCAAGAATTATTTCTTTATTTTACCTCCCAGTTGCATTATCAGCAACTAAAAACAAGTCACAGCCAATACCAACCCCGATAGATAGATAGATAGATAGGTAGATAGATAGATAGATAGATAGATAGATAGATAGATAGATAGATAGATAGACAGACAGACAGATAAAGAGAAAAAGAAAGAAAGAAGGAAGGAAGGAAATATTAACCTGCAGTACATTATATATATTGCCCTACAACCAAGACAGACATGAACATATTTGAACTGAAGTGCCAGGTCTGTAATTTACCAGCTATGTGACTGCAAATATGTTAATGGACCATCCCAGACAGGATTGTTAGTAAAACTGAAAACGAGAAAGGGATTAACATCAAATTGATGCTCAATATATAGGAGTTATTTTGGTAGTAAATGTCATGTGTATCACACCATTAAAAAATTTTTAAATGTCTAAATCTAAGCATTCCATACCTTAATCTTTCCATCTTGGGCCCCAGTTGCTAACATTTCAGTATCTCGGCTGAAACACATGCAGAGGACAGCATCATCCATCATCATGAAGTTATCCTGGGCCTGGTACTTAAGATCCTGAAGTGATGATTAACAGTTATTAAAATAACACAAAATCAAACCAGTGCCCCAGTGGCCCCACCCAGAACCCTAGAAATTCAAGGAAAGCAAGAGTTCTGGGCCCTGAACTCTGGTTCTCATGTGTGCACGACAAGTGCTTTCACCACTGAGCCATTTCCCCAGCACCTGCAATGCATATTTTGATTTCTTAAAATAGAAAGTCCTCACTTCAAAAAAGAAATAAATAAGAAAATGTTGACAAAGGGGCTGGGAAGTTACTGTCTTAGAAGCATGAGGACCTAAATTCAAACCCCTGAACACATATTGGGGAAAAATCATGGTATCCATTTGTTAGTCCACAGCTAGGAGAACAGAGCTAAGTCTGGACCTCGCTGAGCATCCAAACTAGCCTATTTGAGGAGTTCCCCGCCACTAAGAGATCCTATGTCAAAAACAAGGAGGACAACACTTGACTAACAACACCCAAGGTTTCCTCTGGTCTCACACAAACACATACATATGTCCATCTGTACCTGCATAGACTTCACAGAACAGAAAAATACGGTGGTTATTTACATATAAATTTCACTCATAAAAAATACAATTAGTACTAAAATCAGGTGAGACTGGCAACAATCTCTAAGAGACTATACATAGACCATGCGTCATTCCTTGCACTGCAATGTAATTCAACAATTATTTCAAACACTACAAAGAGGAAATCGAGGGCATAATACAGTACGTGGCATGTATGTTGTCATCTGTGTAACATTATTAAAAGGACACAAAAATAACTGCTAACACACACACACAGAACATCCCTTTAAAGCTAAGGAATGGGCAGCCTTGGATCGAACAAGGAAGAGCTCTGATGGGCTCAAGGATGCGGGTAAGAGCTGCACACTTCCCCTGAAGATCTCATGGCCCTTTCTGAATATTACAGACACGTAACTCACTCCAAACAAAACGTTTTCAATTTTTCTAAAAACTCATGAAAAGATAACAAAGGTTTCTCCTATTTAATAGAAACTCAACTTAAAATGAGCTTTTAAACTATAAAAATACATCATTCATAAAGACCCTTCCTCAATCATGTAACTCACAAAGACAAAATTAACTGAAAATCAGCAATTCTTCCTTTAAAAGTTAATGCATTTTTAATACTTTACCTTCCTGATTTTTCCTGTAGTGAAGTTCCACACTTCAATAAATCCATCAACAGATCCAGTGACCAGATATTGACCATCTGGAGAGAACCGAGCACACTCCACGTGCGATTTCTGACCAAACTGTTTCAAGTGAAACAAAGAACACATAAATTGTTATCTAAGGGCCTTTAAACGATTTCCATTTTAGCCTTTTAAGAAACCCAGCCCTTGCATATAATCCCAGATGGCCCATATTGTGAAGTATTGGAAGGCATTTCTACACATGGACCCTGGTAGATGCTTTCTCTGACTAGTTTTCTATTTAAATGTTTTAATAAAATTAGTTAATGGGAAAAAACACAAGGTTTTATCCTTTCAAAGATGATTTCACTTATGTGGCCCTTAAGATGGCCAAGAACTCAATGTAGCCCACTGAGATCCCATCCTCTAATCTGAGATCTTCCTTCTGCAGTAACCCTTTAAGTACTGGGATTACAGGCACATATCATCACACATATAGTGTGTGGTGGTATATGGGGGAAAATTTTTTTTAGCATGAGATGTAAAACAAATAATTCAGTTAGCACAAGCTGTAACTTTCTGCCAGAATCAGAAATTAGAAGGCCTTTCCATTCCAAGTTAACATGGTTTAATGCTTCTGTTGTGTATCTGGATGGAAGAGGGGACTCATTTTCAAAATAAGAGTGTTGTAAATAAAATTTTCATCATTATTTCACAACCTTTATTGAATCAGTGATAATATGTGGCTACAAAACTAGGACTAAGGGCTGGAGAGATGGCTCAGCGGTTAAGAGCACTGATGATCTTGCATAAGACCTGGATTCCACTCCCAGAACCCACATAGCACTTCAGAACCATCTGTAACTACAGTTCTAAGGGACCCGATGCCCTCTTCTGGCCTCTATAGGCACCAAGCACACGTGTAGTACACAGAAAAACATGTACACAAAACGCTCATACGTTAAATAAATTAATCTATCTACCTACCTTTAGGGAAAAAAAAAACTAGGACTAATTATTGAACAAGTTATTTGCTTGCTAAGTGCCTTCCTAGCATTTGAACTGACTATGCTCCAATGTCAGGGAAACCAAAGGACAGCAGGCAGATAATAATGTTGATTTTCCTTTTTTAGTGCTGGGATACTGACCCAGGGTCCACACATACTAGGCTCTACCAAACTATCTCCAGGCCACTGCGTCTAGGGATGAGGCAGGCTTTCAACTTGAGTCTTCCTGCTTTGGCCTGCAGGCATTACTGGGGTACATCATCACCACTTTATTTACTTACTTATTTTTCAAGACAGGGTTTCTCTGTGTAACCCTGGCTGTCCTTGAACTTACAGATCAAGCTGGCCTGGAACTCTGAGAACCTACCTCCATATCCTGAGTGTTGGGATTAAAAGCCTGTGCCACAACCACCCCACTGTCTAGCTCTAATGCAAAATATTCATTCCAGAAAACTTCTAGCCCAGTGGCACCAACAGAATGATCTCTAACTGAATAAAGTCTTCGATCAAGGCAAATAAAGGTACTAATCAAAAATAGTATCACATGCAAATTAGAACACACAGTGTAGAAAAGACAAATACAAACCACTGAACCAAAGTCAGAGTTAAGGAATAGGCACATCTGTGTGTGCATATTTGCAGTACAGTATATGCACGTATGCACATGTTCATGCATATGCATTCACCCATGCATGCTCATCTGAAGATTAGAGGTCAAGGAATCATATTCTACCTCTCTCCACCTTATTTTTCAGGACAGAGTCTCTCACTAGACCTGAATCACCCCATATTCTGCTAGAATAGCTTGCTAGCAAGCTCCCAATACCTGCCTCCCTCCGCCCCAGCACTGGGCTTACATATGCATGCTAACATGCTCAATTTTATGTGGGCACTGGGAATTTTTGCACAGCAAGCATTTTATCCACTGAGCCATTTCCTTAACACCATGAATACGCAGCATTTTAAAATCCATTAATGCAATCAGAGCACAAAACTACAGAGAAGCTAAGGCACTAAGCACACACCTTTAGTTCTGGGAGCTGAACTATTTGTTCCTTTTCCTGAAACAGTTTCCCAGTACAATCAAGGTCTCAAGGCTTAGCTCAGAGGTATGTTAAGGTTCTATATCTAATCCTTGGCATGCACTCACACATCTAAGTCATAAGGCAAAATTATTCTCCTTAACATCACAAGTCAGCTTTACAATCCATGGCTGACCCTTTGCCATGGCAGACTAAGCACAAATATTTAATAGGACATAAATATGGAAAATTTATATGGTACCAAATTAAACCATTTTCTCAAATATAGGATTATGGGCTGGATGTCAAATATGTATCTACAACTGACATGTGCCACTGCCAGGTTCCAGCAGTACCCCAAAGGACACCCAGAGAACCCTGAGTACTGTCAAGCCCTTCTCCCTGGTATCCCAGCTCCTGACAACAGGGCCTCCTGGCTCTGCACATGACCAGTACTCAACTAATTACCAGCTGTGTTTATCAGAGCCTACCTTAATATGCCTGCTCAGCTGTGTGGGAAACTTTTCTTCTTCCACATCTTTGACAGCTGCTTTGCCTCGAAACAAATCTATGGTCATACCAGGAGGAAGCAAGCCCTGGTGCTGCTGCCACTTCAACGCCTGTGGAAAAAGACAGCACAGCAATCTGCTGAGTGACAGTGAAGAGCCATCACTGCTACTCAAAGAATGAGGCCAGAAAACGCTCTCCAGTCTCCGCATTTCCGACTGTCCAAACAATCTCCTGTTCAGTGTGTCACACAACATGGACTTTTCATGAAAGACTCTGACAGACAAAAACTATATCTCACACCTATTTTCCTTTATTATGAACAAAAATTGTTAAAGCAGAAATTTCCCAGAGTTCCAAGACTCAAACCCAGCCACTAATAACAATAATGTACAATATTTCCTCCTAGTTATTTTCCTCTCATGATGTGTTTAATTACTATATTAGTAATTATACTATATACTAAGTTTATATTCTATTTTCATCTAGTATCACATCATACTATGACATACCATACCTATGCATGCTTATATGTATTAGGAATTGCAAAGCTATCAGGTTTAATGGTTGTCAATACACTATTTACTGGGTGTTTCGGTTTACCTATTCAATATATTAGTGAACATTTGCACTGCTTTCAACACCCTATCTTTTTTTTTTTTTTTTGAGACAGTTTCTCTGTAGCTTTGGAACCTCGAACTCACAGAGATCCACCTGCCTCTGCCTCCCAAGTGCTGGGATTAAAGGTGTACGCCACCATCGCCCGGCTTCAACACCTTATCTAACGAATGCTACCCTGAACATCTCTAAACAGGAAAACTTTGCATTCCCAATGGATAGTTTTTGCCAACTTGACACACAAACCAATCATCTGGGAAGACAGAACTTCAAGTTAGAAATTGCCTCCACCAGACTGCCCTGTGGGCAGATCTATCAGGGCACTTTCTTGGTTAATAATGATGTAAAGGCCCAGTCCATTGTGAGGAGCACTCTTGGTTGTATAGGAAAGTAAGACGAGTAAGATAGTAAGCAGCATAATTAACTGATTTCTGCTTCAGTTCCTACTCCTAGGTCTCTGCTTTGAGCTTACCCTGGCTTCCCTAGATGCTGGTGAAGTCTATAATGAAATAATTCCTTTCCTCCCTAAGTTGCCTGCATCGCCCAGGTGCTAGGATTTGTGCACACACACACACACATAAATCCTCACAGTAATATCATAAATACATTATGTATTTTTATGTGTCAGAATATAAAGTCTCACTGTTGGTTTTGGTTGGGAGCAAATCTAAAATCTCAAGCACAGGAGCAAAAACCGAGCTACAGCCCCAGCTTGACAAGCCCACAGAGCTCAAAGAGTATGGATTCTACGGAGCATTAACATTATTCCAAGTTCCCTAGCACATCCCAACACAATTCTAAATGAGGCTAGAGATTACGTCCTGAATGATTTGTCTACATTGCCGATCCAGGGAAAGAAGAAAGGTGGCTCGGAACAGCTTCTGAGCAGTCAGCCTTGAAGGTAGGCTCTATTCCCAGGCTGTGTAATTTCCTTAGCTCAGGGTAATTTCAGTCCTACAAGGTAGTCATTTACCTGTCCCAGCAATGCCATGAGACGAGATGGCGGCACCACACTGACTTCTCCAGCTAACGCCTGGGCAATCGCTGCTCTCCTTTTCTCTTTGCTGCTTCCATCTGGATAGGCCTTAAAAAAAAAAAAAAAGAGTTGGTATCATTTCCAAGGAAAAGAAAGGCATGAATATATATATTTAAAGCTTAGCAGTTAAGAGCATGTACTACTCTTGCCAAAAAAAAAAAAAAAAACAATTCCCAGTACCCACACTGAGCAGCTCACAACTCCCTATAACTCCAGTTTCAGGGGGGGAAATTCAATACATCTGGCCTCCTGAGGATTGGACACACAAGCACACATGCACACTTATGTACAAACACATACGTACACAAACACACATTTTAAATAAAAATTAAATTTTTTCAAAAGCAAAGGAAATAAGACATTCTCAGAGGAAAACAATAAAATACCAGTTAAATAGGTGATGAACTAAATCAATTTAGTGTTTAAAAGAAACTTTGCAATTCTGCACTCTTGCATTTCGGAAGTATGGAAGAGAGCTATATCAGTCAATCTGTACTGTTATTTCTGAAGAGGCCAGGTAAGTCAAAATAGAAGTAGGATTCTAATTTCTGAAATATTTGCAGGGTCGAAGACTGATATTCTTCAGAAATCTTTCTATTACCGACTTCCTATTGCATTCTTCTTCCTTTTATTTTGGAAGCTGTCTAGTGAAAGTTTATGGGGGAAAGAAACTGCGTTTGTGTGTGTATATATATATGTGTAAAATTATGTATTTATACATCTCACTGGTGGATGAGATCGCACTGTGGGAAAAAGGTGTTTGCCACCAACCATGATGACATGAGTTTGAATCCCACGGCAGAAGAAAAGAACCCACTCCTTTAAGTGGTTCTCTGACCTCTACAGATACCCATCCAAACATACACAAACAAAAATTAAAAAGCAATTTTGCAAGGCCACATTATTTAATTTTCACAGTTAACAACTGTGAAACTATGTTTTCATTACCATATCCTTACCTCACGAGGATCAAAGTAAGACCTGGCTAAGAGGTTTTCCAGATGAATATAGCGCTCTGGCTGTGTTTGCTTCAACATAATCATGGGGTCTGTCTGTCTCAGAAGGGACCTGGCAGCACCCAATTCACGAAGTTCTATCAGTTCCAGAACAACCTGGACAACAGGAAAAAAATTCATTTTTCAGCACATCCTCTTCATCAGTCTTTTTCGTCTTCATCCCAACCCTCTCCCCAAGACAGGGTTTCTCTGTGTAGCCCTGACTATTCTGGAACTCACTCGGTAGACTAGGTTGTCCTGGAACTCACAGACACCCACCTGCCTCTGCCTCAAGTGCTGGGATTAAATGTTGAATCTTCCAAGGAAGAAAAAAAAAATACACTGTTGAGTCTTGACAATGTGGATTACAGCCAGTTATATCCCTTGGGCTCTGGAAGGAAGGCTCACTGATACTCTCCATTAAGGACCAACCCACAAAGCTCAGGAACATCACTTCACTCTTACCTGTTCATAGAGATCAATAAGGGTTTTGTCTGGCAATTTCAGAGACTGTATAGCCTGTAAAACAGTATCCCAATGGCCGCTATTAATGTCAGCCACGAAGCTTTCAATGCTGTCCACAGTATTGAGAGAGACAGTGGTCTCCTCCTGTAGGGTGGCCAATGCCCGATACAAACTGTTCTCCTTCAAGTACTGCATGATGAGACGAATCACACTGAGAGAAAACAAAGAAAGCCATCAGCTCAGAGAGCTCCAGCCACCAATTAGTCCTTTCACTACCCACTTTCCATTTAATTATTGCAAACAATCACAGAATCAAGGTTCCAAACTTCCAGCTAAAGATACGAAAACTGGGGTTCAGAGAGGGGAAATTGCCTGCCCAATGTTTCTCACTCAGAAAGAAAGCTGGATTTACTGGACATCTGTGTGAGACACTTTAAACCTACAATAGTCAATGATGTCTTTTTTAAAACATCTGGAGGGGTGAGGGCGCACATCTTTGATCCAAATTAAAAATTTTAAAGCCAGATAAATTAAATAAATAGATTGGCGAATCAATCAATCAAATCAATAAATAGATTGAATCATCTATATTGCTATTAAAAATCTTGGTCATTTAAAAAAATGGCAAGTCAAACTAATTAACTGAATAATGGATTAAATCATCTACATTGCTGTAGGAAATCTTAGTCTATTTTTTTTAAAAGACAAGACAAATAGATATGATAGATATAGTCATCTACATTGCTATAGAAAATCTTGGTCCATTTTTTAAAAAAATGACAAGCCAAGTAAATAAGTAAATAAATAAATAAATAAATTTAATTATTAATAAATAAGATCATCTACATCGCTGTAGGAAATCTTGTTTCATTTAAAAAATTATAAGCCAAATAAGTGAATGAATGAATTTAGATTCAATCATTAGATAGATATGGATGGGTGAATAGACTGAATCTACATTGCCATAGGAAATCTTGGTAATTTTTTTAAAAATGAGGAATCAAATAAATAAGTAAATAGATTAAATTATTGAATAGATACATGGATTAAGTAATCTACACTGCTGTACAAAATCTTGGTCCATTTAAAATATGATAAGCCAAATAAACAGAATAAATCATTAGACAGAGATAGATAGATAGATAGAAAGAATCATCTATATTGCTTTAGCAAATCTGGCCCATTTTTTAAAAATGAAGCGCCATTCATTATTCCTACACTGCTGTAGGAAATTTCGGTCCATTTAAAAAATGACAAGCCAGATAAATAAATAAGCAAATGAATAAAGGAATGAAGAGAGAGGGGGAGAGAGAGAGGGAGAGAGGGATGGAGAGAGAGAGAGAGAGAGAGAGAGAGAGAGAGAGAGAGAGAGAGACATCTAAATTAATGTAGGGAATCTTGGTTGGTTCGTTTAAAAAAAATGACAAGGCCTTCTTACCCTCCTCTTCAGTGTTAAGATTACAGGATGTGCGCACTCCACGCCCGGTTTCCAGTTTTAAAAAATCCACAGCGGGTCTCCGCCTCAGTCGATTTAATAAGCCTCCCCCTTCTGCAGGCCTTCAGGACACATCTACCTCCCTCGCCCTCTGAACACAAACGTCTGCTTAATTTACATTTTACCTGTTAGCCAGCAAAGGCAGAGGGAGGAGTCCTGGAGAAGTCCACGAAAGACTCTTCCATCACTAACTCCACCCCTGCCTGGCCCCTCGCCGCCCCGTCTTCGCTAAGCATCATCCTTCTGACCCAAAGCTCAAATTCTGTCTCTCGGTCCACACAGCGGCTCTCAACCCTGCAAGCTGCTAACCAAAACTCGGCGCCACCTGGGGTTTGCGCAAACAGAAGCAACCGAGCCTTTCTGGTAACTAGCGCTGGGACTAGGAGGAAAAGCTGCCTCACGGGCAGCCTGGGGGACTGGGGGCACAGGGACAGCACTGAGTGAGGGCTGGGCGAGCAGAGCAAGCACAGTGATCAGGTCTGCTCGGTGAGCCTCTCCAGCCCCGCAGCGGGCCGCCGGGCTCCGGGCTGCCCGCCACAGAGCTGCTCTCACCGTGGGCACACCGAGGCCGCAAGCCCCCGGCGCGCAGCCCCCTCGGACGTCCTCTCGAGCCCCTCCACCCCACGCCCTCAACGTGGGGACGAGCCACAGCCGTACTCACTCGGAAGACTCGATTTCGAGCGACATAGCGGTATCGCTCCGGGTCAAGGCCCGTCTCAGTACAGACTCGGTCGCACAACACTTCCCGACACTTCCGGCGGCCTCCCACCGTCACTTCCGGTCGGCTACGGGCTCAGGGCAACGGGGAAACGCAGAGGTGGCGCAGTGCGTGAGGGGCAGGGCCTAGCGTGTTAGAAGTCTCTCTGAAGCCGCGGAGACGGCTCAGAAAAAAAAAAAGGTGGCTGCCTCCGATCCTGACGTCCTGACTTCGATCCCGGGGAGCCACAAACTCGCGCTGCTCGTCCTCTTCTGGCTCGGTGGCGACTGCACGTTAACATAAACGCGAGTAGCCGGGCGATGGTGGCGCACGCCTTTAAATCCCAGCACTCGGGAAGCAGAGGCAGGCAGGTCTCTGTGAGTTCGAGGCCAGCCTGGTCTACAAGAGCTAGTTCCAGGACAGGCTCCAAAGCTACAGAGAAACCCTGTCTCGAAAAACCAAAAAAACAAAAACATAAACGCGGAGTCTCTTTATATAGTTTATCTGTTCCGAAACCCAGAACCACGCCTTCTTGTCCCAGCCTATCACTGCTCAGGATTAGTGTGCGGTCACAGAGATCCTCCTCCCTCCACCTCCCTAATACTGGGATTAAAGGCGTGTGCCCTCACAGAGACCCTCCTGCCTCTGCCTCCCTAATCCTGGAATTAAGGGCGTGTGCCATCACCAAGCCATTAATTAGGTGGCTTACAATTTAAACCCAGCACTCTGGGAGTTAAAGTCAGCCTGACCTACGTAGTGAGTTCCAGAACAGTCAAGACTACATAGAGAGACCCTGTCTCAAACAAAATAAAATGGAAAAACTTAAAACTATTATCTTTACATTTTATTTATTGCGTGAGTACGTGCACTGTGCGTGTGTATACATGTGAAGGATTAGAGGAGCTAATTCTCTCCTTCCTGATGTGGGTCTAAGTGATAAACTTGGTTAGACTGTGGCAAGTGCCTTTACCTGCTAAGCCATCTCACTGGACCTGTCCTGTAGGAGGAAGCCCGCTTGTTCGTCCAGGCTGCCAAAATAATCACACAGAAACTGTATTAATTAAATCACTGCTTGGCCCATTAGCTCTAGCTTCTTATTGGCTAACTCTTACATATTAATTTAACCCATTTCTATTAATCTGTATATCACCACGAGGTCGTGGCCTATGAGCAAAGCTTCAGCACGCCCATCTCTGGCGACAGATTCATGGCGTTCTCTGGCGACAGATTCATGGCGTCCCCTGACTCTGCCTCCTTTCTTCCAGCATGCCATTTAGTCCCCCCCACCACCACCACCCCCACTACCTACCTAAGTTCTGCCCTATCAACAGGCCAAGGCAGTTTCTTTATTTATCAACCAATGAAAGGACCACAGAAGGCCCTCCCACACCACTGTCCTATCATTTTACTTCAGTTAGACTCACTTCTTTATTTTGCCTATAAAAATAAGTCTATAGAATTCCTTAACACAAGGCTTTATTAAGTGTCTTCCATAATTTTCATTTCATTTTTAATAGAATTGCTTTTTATAATTCTTATAAGTTCAGGCTTTTTATTATTTATATAGATATAAGCCACTCGAGTTCATTATGTCTTTTTACTAATAATGAATGAGTGCTTTATAATTACCCTGCAAAGTGGCAAGTTTCCTTGAGGCATATTCATACTTTCCTTATGATTTTTCCTTTTCTCCCCTATCTCTCTGGTCCTCATCCCCTCCTAAATCCTTTCTGCCCCTAGCATTCCCTTTTTGCTGCCATACCATGTGTTTTATAACCCTTCCTACCACTCTTCCTTAAAGCCTCTATTTTTGCTCTTTATGGCCCTTTTCTAGTTTTCTGATATCTATCAAGTATTATTTGTTTTGTTTATTTTTTTATTTATTTATTTTGGGGTTTTATTTTAGGGTTTCTCTGTGTAGCCCTAGCTGTCCTGGAACTCTGATGTGGGATTCCCCTCTGTATGCTGTGAATATTTTTTATTATCATTGTTAATGAAGAATCTGCTTTGGGCCTATGGCAGTGCAGAATAGAGCAAGGCAGGAATTCCAAACAGAGATTGAGGAAAAAAGAAGGCAGAGTCAGGGAGACGCTGAAGGAGACTGATGCCCCAGAATCTTGCCAGTAAATCATGAGCCTTGTGGTAATACACAGAATAATAGAAATGGGTTAATTTAAGATGTAAGAGCTAGCTAGAAATACACTTAAACAATTGACCAAACAGTATTGCAGTTAATACAGTTTCTGTGTGATTACTTGGGTCTGGGCAGCCTGGAAACAAACGAGCAGCTTCCACCTACAAATTGGCACCACAATGTGGACAACTACATCCACATAAAACCTGAGAGAGCTTGGGAAGAAATTCTAGACACAAAAGAACAGATTAGCACAGCTTCTTGGTAGCCACATCTTTTTTTTCAGATTGACTTTGTTTGCCTATGGCAAGCAGGGGTGCTGTGGCTCCTTTAAGAAAGGTCTTTCTGACACTGCACTGTCAGTGAAGGCTGCGTAGCTTCTTTAGGGGAGGGCTTCCTGGTTCATGCTGGCTGCATGAACAGCTCTGGCTCTTTCAGGAGGCAGAACACTTAAATGGGGTCTGTGAACAACATGCTACAAATTGCTTAATGGTGACATAGACCTGCCTTGCTGCAACCCTGGAGCTAGGGCAATGTGCATTGCTCTCAAAGGCAGTAAACATCCCTACGCCATGTTGGACTGGGCAGAGCCAGGCAGGGCCACAGAGTTGGTCCTAGCCACGCCCTCTTAGCCTTTTTTTTTTTTTAAAAAGCCCTCCTGGTCAGAAAATAATTACAGATACGCAGGCAATAAAGACAAATTCAGATTAAAAAAAAAAGAAAATACCTCTAAATGGGTCACAATGTTGAATAAATGTATGTAGACTTGAGAGAGAGCAAAAAGAGTATAGACAGTTATGAAAGAGTACAGACAGTCATAGATTAAAGGAGTAAAAAAATTAAGCCACATAAAGATGAAAATTACAGAGAGAGTCTGGATTATGTATGTTATTGTGCTTTCTTTGATTTTTTGATCAAGGGATTAAAGGCATGTACCATCACTGTCTGGATTATCAAGGATTTTAATGTGGAAATAAGTATCACTGTATCTTGACTGGGTGTGTTTTCACAGGCCTTTGATCCCAACCTGTAGAGGCAGGTGGATCTCTATGAGCTCAAGGTTAGCCTTTCAGGTTAGACGTGGTTACACCGTGAGACACTTTCTAAAAAAAAAATAAATAAATCGCAGTATTTCATAAAAATATTTCTAGGGCTGGAGAGATGGCTTAGAGGTTAAGAGCACTGACTGCTCTTCCAGAGATCCTGAGTTCAATTCCCAGCAACCACATGGTGGCTCACAACCATCTATGAGATCTGGTGCCCTCTTCTGGCATGCAGGCATATGTGTGAACAGAACATTGTATACATAATAAATAAATAAATTTTAAAAAAATTTCTAAATGTTTCCTATACTTTAGGCATTTTACTAATTTTCCCACTATCTATGTAGATTATATTTACTATGAATTTTAGAATATTAAAGGGAATGTTATAAAATATTTGGAGGTTCTTAAACCAAATAGTATTGAACCTACTACAGAAATCCTGGGAGAAATAGTTTCAATAGTCAGGTTTGGTGGAGCAGGCCTGTAATCCCAGCTATTCAGAAAATGAGGCTGGAAGATCACAAACCTAAAGCCTTCTCAGGCTGCAGGAATTCAAGGGTAATTTAGTGAGAACCCATCTAAAGAACGAAAGGTGGAAAGAGGACTGGGGACCTAGCTGAGAGACAGGGCTTCCCTAGCTCGTGAAAGGTCCTTGGTAAACTGCTTCATGTGGGAAGATCAAAGAGAGACACTCCATGATGTAATCAAGTTTTGTAGCAGCAGCAATAGCATCAGCCTCTGAGGACTGAACCTTGCAGAAGCCATGTTATTGTTACAGAAAAGGCATTTTCAGCGAGTCCCTTTCAAATACCCGAACCTTAGATCTGACCAGAACCTTAGATCTGATCTGGGAGGTGTGTGAAGGACCTCATTACCTAAGCAGTTCTTAGCCCTTAGAAGAATTCCTAGTTTTCCAGGAAATGTCTTGTCAGTGAAGTCATGCAAAAGTTCTGAAATTCTTTTTTTTTAAGATTTATTTATTTATTACATATACAACATTCCTTCCATGTGTGCCTGCAAGCCAGAAGAGGGCAGCAGATCTTATTATAGAAGCCTAAAATTTAGAGGTAAAAGGAATATGACAATGATTTCTTTTTTATTGATTTTTATTGAGCTCTGCATTTTTCTCTGCTCCCCTCCTTGCCTCTCCCCTCCCCTTCAACCCTCTCCCAAGGTCCCCATGCTCCCAATTTACTCAAGAGATCTTGTCTTTTTCTACTTCCCATGTAGGTTAGATCCATGTATGTCTCTCTCTTAGTGTTCTCATTGTTGTCTAGGTTCTCTGGGATTGTGATTTGTGGGCTGGTTTTCTTTGCTTTATGTTTAAAATCCACTTATGAATGAGTAAATGTGATAATTATCTTTCTGGGTCTGGGTTACCTCACTCAAAAAGATGTTGGTGGGGTTTTTTGTTTTTGTTTTTGTTTTTTGTTTTGTTTTGTTTTTGTTTGTTTGAGACAGGGTTTCTCTGTAGCTTTGGAGCCTGTCCTATAACTAGCTCTTGTAGACCAGGCTTGATGGAGGAGGGTTATCTGTCTATTGTGTTATTTTCATTGGTCAATAAAGAGACTGCCTTGGGCCCTTGATAGGACAGAAAATTAGGTAGGCGGAGTAAACAGAACAAAATGCTGGGAAGAGGGCTATGAGCCAGACGCCATGGAGCCAGCCACCAGGTCAGACATGCTAAATCTTTTCCGGTAAGCCACCACCTCGTGGTGCTACAGATTATTAGAAATGGGTTAATATCAAGATATGAGAGTTAGTCAGTAACTAACTCTCTAAGAGGTAATGGGCCAGGCAGTGCTTAAATGAATATAACTTGTGTGTTATTATTTCTGGGACTAAGCTAGCCGTGCGGGAGCCGGGTGAGGAGAAAAGCAGGCCTGCCCGCAGCCCCTCACTACACAGGCTG